CATAGTTAAAATTATCTTCGTTTATTTTAAATTTTACCCAAAACTTTTATAATTAAGCAATTCAGTCCATGGGTTTCAACTCTTTTCAAATCAATTCTTCATGTTTCGAATTTAATCAAATTAATCCCTTTACTTTTTATTTCGTGCCTATTGTGCATGCATGTTCTTGATTTTATCTATTTTTGTCCAAGAGTTTAAAAGATGTGACAATTTGGTCCATCTATTTTACAAACTCATTTTTTAAGACTTAAGTAAATAGGTAATGAATAAGTTGAATTAAAACCCCCAATGTTAAAGTATGCAACCGTGTTTAAACGGAGGATTGTGAGGTGCGCGTATGCCCTTCCTCACTCATAACCGAACCCATGAACTCCGATCTCTGCGCAGACCTGTTTTAGGTGATTTGTCCCACCTTATAATTTGGATGAGTGGCGACTCCCTTCTCTTTTTATATTTTCACACTTAATAAAATTTTAAGCGGTCGTCAACACTAACACTATAAATTATCACGAAAAATTTTATTTTTGGTGGAGATGGAGGAGTGTTTAGCGAAAATGCATTATTTTAGAGCATCTCTTATTCAACTAAATAACAAGGAATAATCTGGCCACTCCCTCCTTTGCCCTGCTTTCCACACAGTAGTTTATCATAATAATCTCATTAATGGAATTTTGCTGCAGTAAACAGATAAAGAAGGTGGGAAAGCGAGAGCACCACTTGTGGAAGAAAAGTAATTCATCTGGATCTGGGAAAAAGGGACTCAGTCTTGTTCAAATTGTAAGCTTATTCGGTCATCTGTCATTTTCATTTTTTAGTTTGGAAAAGCCCAGATTATTCTCCTTAATTGTATTCTGCAGTATTTGAGCATGAACTGGGTGCTATTATCTGTTTGCAAATGTCTTTAATGATTGTTTGGTTTTAAATTTTAAACTAGTAGGTTTCTGACCTTCCTAATGAGAAAGAGGCTGTTTATAAAGCATTGGATAAAAGGGTAGCTTGGGAGACAGAATTTCCATTGGCTGCTGCAGCTAAAGCTTTACAAATCTTAAGGAAGAGGAGCCAATGGCTTCGTGTGATTCAAGTATGTCAGTTTTCTTCTTCTTGTTGAGGTTCTAAAGTGGTTATAGCATGTGGCTTATGTTCTATTTGTGATGCTTTGATGGTTGCTAATATGACAATTTCTGTTATTTTTTTCCTTAATATAATTGTGGTAAGAGACAACAAGCTCAGCATGTTGAAATTTTCCAGCCAAATTTGCTAGAGTTTTTTGTCTTGAGTGTTCTTATATTTGCATTAGTAATACACCCATGAGTGAGGTATAGCTAAGACAAGAAAGGACTTTACTTATTCATCTGAGAAATGAGCCTGGGTGGTGGGTTGGAGAGGGTTAGTACTGGTGATTGAACTGTAGGTGGAGAATGCCAATTCCCCTACAAGCCTATCCATTGTTGAAGAATTTTCGAAATATTTCTAGGATTTGGGTTCGAAATACAAAAAGTTGGTTCGAAGCAATTGCATAGAATGCATTTGAGAAAGTGTAACTTTGGTTCGAACCATAATTATATGGTTCGAATCATTTACGTAAAACCAGAATCTGGAAAGTTATGATTTTGGTTCGAACCACATTTATTTGATTTGAACCATTTACGTCAGAATAAGAGATAAAATTCAGATAAGTTTCTTAAGAGAGTGGATAACTTTGGAAGGTAAGGAAACACGTGATTTGGAGTTCAAATCAAACCAAATGACTTTTGGAAGAGTTTCCAACGGATAAATTTCATGAAAACTCGGTTATTATCCGTTAATAAATTGATAATAACTGAAAAGGAGTGTCTGTTCACAACAGACATCTTGCCCCTATAAATATGAAGTTATCTCTTCTTCTTCTTCATCTCTTGAATCTAGAAACAAACCCCTACTATTATCTAAATAAAATAGCCCTTTTTGCACTTTGATTGCTGTAGAAATCCTTGTACAAAAACTATTGTTTTGTCGCTTTCCAAAGGACGGTTCAGTGGTTGATCTTGCTAGTGCAAAAGCAAGATCAACAAGGTGCTTCATTGTATCCTATGGGCATTTCGAGTTACCCCTTTTGCATCCAGATCTGGTGGGGGCGAAATTATCCTAAAGAAAAGTGGCATTTGCAGCATGCCTTGAAGCCATTTGCTGATTTTCTACCCTACTTCTCAACAATCATGACAAATGGTTGCATTAACATAATAACCAGCACCCATCACTTGGTGATGGCACGAGCTTCTTTGCCAATTACTTTGGGTGTTCATGTTAGGACATATAAGTTGGTTCATAGCAAATTAATTAATTAAAATAATCTGAATGAAATAGTAGACACAGAAATTGTTATGCAACTCAATCTCAAGGTGAGCTTGGTTTTGCTAGACAAAAGTGTCTTTTGTTGGACGATAACGTAGCTAGATTTGTTTCTATTAGTGTGTGAGATCAAGTCTATTAAAGTGGCAGTTATAATTAGTTTATTTTGCTTAATAGTGTAGCAGTTTGTAACTTCTTTTTATTTCAGTAATTGTTATGTATAAGTTCCTTTTCCTTAGAAACTAATATGTATGTTTGCTGCTGTTTTTGTTAATATATCGAAACACTGTTCATGTATTTCATTAGTGTTCATGTATTTCATCATTTCTCAAGTTTAATCCTTGAGTTTATGTTCATTTTCACTTGAGCTTTCATCTTTACTTTCACAAATTAGTATCAAAGCTTGCAGTTCTTGAGGGATCTATGAGAAACCATAAAGAGGTATGAGATAGTGAAACACGAGTGACAAGTGAGGGAGAGATTCTTGTTCTTCTATAGCATTTTCAATATGTCTTCTTCTTCAACAAATTCATTTTCTTCTCCTCCAATGTTCAATGGAAAGAATTATGATTTCTGGGTTGTTAGAATCAAAGCCTTCCTCAAAGGGAATGATGTATGGGAAGTTATCAAGCTTGGTTTCCAACTTCTTTTTCCATAGGAAAACCCAACAGTGGCACAAATAAAGAGAAACGTAGAGTATGAGACAGGTACATATAGAGCACTTTCTTTTCAGCATAGTGCAATGACAAATGATATTTTCCCTAAAATTGCATTGGGCGAGAATGCATAAGAAGTCTGGGAAGCACTTAAAGAAGAGTATGAAGGGAGTGCTAGAGATAAGAGTGTGACACTGTTAGCTCTTAAACAAGAGTTTAAAATGTTGAAGATGAAGAAATTGATACAATACGCCAGTATTCTTCAAAATTAGTTGATTTGGTCACTTAAATTCGAATGCAGGAAGAGAGATTTCTTGATTCATGAGTGGTCGACAATATGTTGGTTAGTCTTCTTGATAGATTTGAACCTAAAGTTGTTGCAATAGAAGAGTCTTGTGACTTGAGCAAGCTTTCCATTTAAGCTCTCACTAGAAAATTGCAAGCTCATGAAAAAAGACTTGCACTGAGATTTGACAAAAGTGTCGAAGGGGCATTTCAAGCTAAGCACATGGGGAAATATTTAGTTGCAAGATCGGATTGGAAACAGGAAGCTACCAAAGTGGAGAGAGGTAAACAACAAGCTGAATCTTCCAGAAATTTTGACAAGAAAGATAAATTTCCTTGTCCAAACTACAAGAGGACAAATCATCTTGAAAAAGATTGTTGGCACAAAGGAAAGCCACGGTTTTACTACAAAAACTACAAGAAACATGGCCATATAGAAAAATTTTGCAAAGCTAAACAAGTGCAGTACAGGCCTAAGCAAGTGCAACAAGCTAATTACACAGAAGATCAAAATGAGGACGATTATATGTTTGTGGTTATGCACAGTTGTTTTGTGACTGCAGAGGATTCATGGTATGTTGATAATGGCTATGCAAATTATATGGTCAGAGATGTGAAGCTGTTTATAAAGCTAGATATGTCTGTTTGAATAAGAGTCAGACTTGGCAATGGATATGTAGTTCAAGCAGAAGGCAAGGTTAATGCCTTAATTCAAACTAAGGAAGGAATTAAAACTATTTTTGATGTTTTGTACATCCCTAGTTTGAGTCAAAACTTGTTGAGTATTGCACAATTAATGAAGCATGGATGTTCTATATATTTTAAACAAATGCATGTCAAATTTTTTATGTGCATGGTTCTAAGGTTGCTAATGTGAAAATGGTTGATAATAGCTTCCCTCTAATGTGGAGTGATGTTAAGCAACATGTTCTAATTTCTAAAGAAGATAAGGCTAGCTTATGGCATAGGAGATATGGTCACTGCAATATTAGAACTTTGAAGTTTTTGCAATCTTTTCAACTTGTAAGAGATTTGCCAGAAATTTATGTCAATAATAATGTATGTAAGAGCTGTCAACTTGGAAAAATGTGTAGAACAACTTTTCCTACAACTAAGGCATGGAGAGCAAGTTAAAAACTTGAATTGGTGCATACTGATTTATGTGGCCTTATGAACACACTTTATCTTAGTCAAAACAAATATTTTCTCTTGTTTATTGATGATTTGACTAGAATGACCTAGGTGTATTTTTTATCTAGCAAGTCACAAGTATTCTTTGTTTTTAAAATGTTTAAAGTGTTGGTTGAGAAGCAAAGTGGCTACCAACTTAAAACCTTGAGGTCAGACAATGGAAAGGAATATACTTCCAAGGAGTTTGATGCTTTTTTGTGAAGAGCATGGTATAAATCATCAATTAATAGTGAAGTATACACCACAACAAAATGGTGTTTCTGATGGCTAGAAGTATGCTTTTTGAGAAGAATTTGCCTAAGAAGTTTTGGGCAGAGGTAGTGCATATTGCTATTTATTTGCTAAATGGTCTTCCAACTAGAGTTATTGAAGGTAAAACTCTGGTTGATGCTTGGTTTGGACTTAAGCCTTTAGTTTATCATTTGAAGGTTTTTGGTTCTATATGTTATATGGATGTTCCAATAACTAGACGAACCAAGTTGGATGAGAAAGGTGAGATGGGAATTCTAGTTGGTTATGCAACATGGTCAAAGGGGTACAGAATTTATAATTTGCAGTCTCAAAAAATGGAAGTGCATAGAGATGTTTTAGTTTATAAATTTGTTTCTTTGAGCTGGGATGATCAGAAAATTATTAAGGAGTCTTTTTCTCAATTAAATGAAGACTTGAATATTGAACAAAGTATAGCTTTTACTTCTAGACATTAGACTGTTGCTAAAACTAATGATGATTCACCCCCTTTGAAGGTAAAGTCACTTGCAGATGTGTATGCTAGATGCAATTTGGCTACTTCTAATCCAACTTGTTTTATTGAGGCTTCAAAACATGACGAATGGATGGTTTCTATGAGAGAAGAGCTGGCTATGATTGAAAAGAACAAAACTTGGTCACTTTGTCCTAGACTAGAAGGTAAAAATGTGATTGGGGTTAAGTAGGTTTTTAGAACAAAGCTTAATCTTGATGGTTAGTAAACAAGTACAAGGCTAGATTAGTGGTTAAGGGATATGCACAGTAGCAAGGAGTAGATTTTTCTAAGACTTTTGCACTAGTTGCGAGGCATGATACTAGCAAATTATTACTTGCTATTATTGCTCAAAATGGTTGGAAGGTTTACCATATGGATGTAAAATTTGCTTTTTTGAATGGCTTTTTGGAGAAAGAAATCTATGTAGAGCAATTGGAGGGGTTCCTTGTTCATGGTAGCGAGGATACGGTTTATAAGCTTCATAAAGCTCTCTATGGTCTGAAACAAGCTTCTAGGGCCTGGTATCGTGGGATTGATGCCTACTTAATGCAACAAGGTTTTAAAAGAAGTGAAAATGAAGCTACTTTGTATTTGAAAGACTCAAATGGTGAAGTGCAGCTCTTGGTGTCACTTTATGTTGATGATTTTCTGATTACAGGTTCTGATGTTCAAGCTATGAAAGATTTTATGCTTGTTATGAAGAAAGAGTTTGACATGTCAGATCTTGGAGAAATGAGTTACTTTCTTGGTTTGGAAATCAAACAATGTGGAAATGGACTTTTCTTGTCACAACAAAAATATGCATGGGATATGATGAGGAAATTCAATATGGAGTATAGTAAGCCAGTTTCTACTCCTCTTGTTTTGAATTGTAAAATGTTAAAAAATGATGGCGTGCCTATGTTGATGCATCTTGGTACAGAAGTATCATTGGTAGTTTGCTTTATCTCAATGCTAATAGACCAGACATTATATTTGCTACTAGTTTGTTGTCTAGATACATGAGTTCTCTTACTCAAGTTCAGTTGAGTGTTGCAAAGAGAGTTTTGAGGTATGTTAATGGTACTGTAGATTATGGAATCTGTTTTGGAAAGAATGATCATGGTGGCTTATCAGGATATTTAGATAGTGACTGGGTATGGAGCATAGATGATGCTGGAAGCACTTCTGGTTACTTATTTCAATTTGGAATAGGTGTGTTTTGCTGGAATTCTTGTAAACACGAAGTGGTTGCCCAATCTACTATTGAGGCTAAGTATATTTCAATTGTGGAAGCTTCAAATCATACAATATGGTTGAGGAAAATGCTATTTGATATGGGGTAGCCTTAGTTTGATCCTAGTGTGATTTACGTGGACAATATGTCAGTTATTGTGATTGCTCAAATCCTGTGCAACACAAGAGGACTAAGCACGTTCATGTCAAGTATCATGTAATTAGGTAGTACATCAAGGACAAGCAAATTTAGTTGTTCCATTGTAGCTCAGATGTTCAACTTGTTGATATTCTTACTAAGTTTTTGCCAAAGTAGAGGTTTGAGATGTTGAGACAGCAACTTGGAGTTACCAAACTTGCTTTCAAGGAGGAGTGTTAGTGTGTGAGATCAAGTTTATTAAAGTGGTAGTTACAATTAGTTTATTTTGCTTAATGGTGTAGCAGTTTCTTTTGTAGTTTGTGACTTTTTTTCATTTCAGCAACTGTTATGTATAAGTTTCTTTTCCTTAGAAACTGGTATGTATGTCCGCTGTTGTATTTGTTAATATATCATAACACTATTCATGTATTTTATTAGTGTTCATGTATTTCATCATTTCTCAAGTTTAACCCTTAAGTTTATGTTCATTTTCACTTGATTTTTCATCTTTACTTTCGTAGTTTTCTTAAATAGAATCTATGGTTTATGTGGTGTTGCTGAATTACATCAGACTCAGTGGTTGTCATGTGGAAAAGTGGATGTTGGGCAAAGGACAAGGTGTTGGAGTTGTGGTGTTCAAGCTGCCAAGTAGCAGCAAGTGAAAATGAAAGGTTGCACAAGATGGCAGCAAATGAAGAAGGGAGAGCTACACCAAAGCACGGTAGTAGCTAAGTGCAGCAAGCTATGCTGTAAATGTTGATGAAATGAGGCTGAAATGAAATGGAAATACAAATGCAGCTGAAATGAAAGGTTGCAAAGTGGCTACAGAGCTGCCAAAGTATGCAAGGCTACAGCAAAATTAGCTGTTACTCATTTCAAATTTTAAATGTATTTTTATTATTTTTTAATGTAGAGAGTTGTTTGAATTTTGAATTGTTTAAAGATTGTATTCTCCTATAAATAGGAGAGATTGTGTTAATGAGAAAAGTTGAGTTGAAGTCATATACTTCTCTCCATTTCAGCTTATGCTTTGTTTTTCATCTTCCTCTCGGTTCTATCCATTTCTTTGTTTTAAAAAACCAACACAAGGCACTACGATGGGAACCTATGACACACTCTTATTGGCATTTGACGTGGACAAGAGGGTAGACGAAGCTGAATCATTATGGAGCATGATTTTGCATACACACACGCTCCATCTCAAAGTGGTTGATTTCAAGGATGATATCGTTTTATGCTCATCATAACATGCCAGAGAAGATAATTGAGGTAAAGAAACCACCATCCCACATGCATGATTATCCTTTACCTACTCTGCATGTTATTTGAAAAAATTTCCATAAAACAAGTTTAGGCACAAAGCATTGCTACTGTGCTAAGCTGCTCAATTTTCTATTATGGAAATAGGTATTTTCTGACATGGAGGAGTTGGGTGTGAGACCAGATGAAGATACCGTTCGGAGAATAGCCTCTGCCTTTAAGAGACTTGGCCAAGAAGAGAAGCAGAAGCTGGTTCTCAAAAGGTACATGTCTAAATGGAAATTTGTGCACTTTCAGGATGAACGTGTGAGGATGAGAAGATACCTATCAGAAGAAGAAGATTCAATAGATTGAAATAGGACTTCACAAAATTTACTGTTTTAATCACTGGAAAAAAAAGGTTTACAGAAAAAGCCCATTGCTTTTGCATTTAGTAATTCAATGTTATGGTAATAGAAAGGAAAATAAATTGTGATTGGAAAAAAAATGAAAAGGCTTATGCCAATGAAAAACAAAGAATAAAAATATAATCTACACCAAAGAAACTGCCATGGTACTTCTTACAATATAGTGCCCATCAGTCCAAGTATACCAACCGAAACCATACTCATTTTTCTTCACGGTTGGATCATGTCTTGGACTCACTGTAATGGTGAAGCTCTTCTTCTGGTTAACATGATTGAACTGTAAAATGCTGGGGTTGGCCTTAACTGACACCCCCACCGGCGGTCTGCTACTAAAGAAGTATATGCTTTTCTTGCTTCCGACGTTGGTGACCGTCCTCTTGATGGTAACAGTCCGATTCAAGTTAGGAATTGCGAAGGATGGGTAATTGAGGTCCAATGTTGAAGGCGGTGAGTTGGGGCACTTGAATATGGTGTTGTTTAGTTTTTTGTACGCAGCACTGCAGAGGTAGAGGATGTAATCGGTGAAGGAGGCGTCATAGACGAGGCCGGGGTCCGCTGCCTTGGTAGGCCGAGAATGACCGGCACCAAACTGGAATGGCGTCGCCGGGGTACCATTCATATCAGATATTGGCTGGCCCATGTTGTTTCTTGTCTCGGCTGTGGTTATCAGCGCAGACCTTATGGCTGCGCTGCTCCATTTTGGGTGTATGGCTCTGAGAAGGGCAGCTACACCCGCCACATGAGGCGTAGCCATGGAAGTTCCCGAGTCGAAGTAATACTCAATCACACGGTGATCTGCCGGTAAGCCCGTTGGAGATGATCTCCCACTCCATGCGGCCAAAATATCAACTCCTGGTGCCGTAACATCAGGCTGCAAAGAAAGACAAGGATGTTCAAAATTGAGCAAAATTTTATTGAAATGTACCCATGAAACATTGGATGGGAGCAGATATCATTGAATTGTAAAACAGGAAACTCTAATAGAAATTTTGTACAAATTAATTTATTACCTTAAGAATGTTAAGGTCAATCACGTTGGGACCCTGACTTGTGAATGGGGCCATGGTTGGAGCTGGCTTCTTGTGCAGAATTGTCTTCCCTGGCATGATCGTTGCGGTCGGGCTCGTGGTACTGTTGATGTATCGAAGAATTCTGAGAGCATCATCATAGATGACACTGGTTTGTGGCAACAAGTGATCATCCAAAGTCATGTCATTACCATATACCTTATTGTTTGCTAAGATGAAACCAACACCCCCTGCCCTTTTAACCTCCAGACCTTTTTCCACCCTTGATCCAAGGCCTCGCATGCATAACACTATTTTTCCTCTCACCTTTTTGGGGGACAGCGTGTTTGGAAGACACCGCCTAAAAAAAAAGAAAAACAAAACAGAAAAAAAATTGAATTACTAAAACTCAGTACCTAAACTCATAATAAAAATACTAAAAACAGTTGTCTCGGATTCCAACATTAATACTATTATGTTCAAGAGAATAGAATAGATGGGTATGATCAGGAGGACTAAAAATTAGCCGAGACTTGATCTTGTTGAGCTCTGGATTTATTATTATACTAAGTTATTTAATAAAATGAATTATAGAGATAAAATCATCAGACTAGGCCAGCTTAGAATCGACTCAGTCAAACTTGAAACTAGAACCAACTATAGTGGTTTTGAAAATTAGATTTAATTAATTGAAACTGAGTCTACTTAAAAATAAAATGAACCGAGTTAAAAAAAAAAAAAAAAGTTTACCCTATTGTTGAGACATTTTGTGCCCCATTAGAGTTAACAACATCTCCTCCATACACTAAGGGGTACATCGTCTTTTTGTTCAACTTGTATGAAGTTATACCCTGTCCCTGAAATCAAACCAACCAAGATGATGATTTTAGAACAAAATTGCAAAATGGAAATGATATGCTATTCAATTGTTTAAAATCATGACGTATTTCTATATGGTTCTTTATTTTTATTTAAAAACTCAATTGTAATGTTATATACATGTAGACTCATAAAATCGCATGTATATTATTGTCAATATATATTCTTACCATAATTTTGGTGCCATTTCCTAACAAAAGAGGGCTAGAGAGTTCCCGGTCAACGGTGCTAGCGCCAACAGTGATTATCCAGGGAGCCGGGTTTGACAAAGTCGCCGGCGTAGGCCCGCTGTTTCCAGCAGCACACACCACCACAATGTTGTGTTTGACAGCATGTAATGCACCAATGGCAATCCCATCATCAGTGTAGTCGGTAGGTGTACTGGTTCCGATTGAAATGCTGAGCACATGCACTCCGTCAGCTATAGCATCGTCAATGGCGGCAAGCATGTCAGCATCCATGCACATGTTAATGCCTCCAGAAACGTTGGGGGGATTGACCCAGCATGCTTTGTATATGGCAAGGCGGGCCATTGGAGCCCCGCCGGAAGCCACGCCACTTGCATACCCTCCACGGGCAACAGTAGGAACTCGTCGACCAGCCGCCGTGGATGCCGTGTGAGTTCCATGGCCAGCGACATCGCGAGGAGAGAGGAAGTCCGCTGTGCGATTTAATGGGCCGAATTGTTGCTCGTAATCCTTGATGTAGTACCGGGCTCCAATTATTTTTCTATAAACAAAAGTAAATTATATTAGAAATTCAGTTCTGAATTATAATAAATTATTTTTTATAATTATCAATTATTTTTAATCATTATCAATTATTTTTAATAATCAAATCATATAATCTCACACGCTTTATTATATTTTATCATGGTTAATTAGTTAGGCGTACAAAGGACGAAAAGAAATATTTATGCATAGAGAAGCTACGGAGCAAAATTTTAGGGACTGATGTGAAAAGAAAAAGGGAGTTCACAAGCTAGGGGATACAGAAAATGCCAAAAGTAATACTCAGAAAGTCAAATTAGTAATTTGTTTTGGTTGAAATGGACAATCTCACCTTGTTGGGTAGTGAAACAATATCACTAAGAAAATGCAAAGAGGACATAATTGATAGGACATGGTGCAGCCTGTCACTGAAAATGGCCTCTTAGCTATGGCATCATTTCAGTAAAAGTACATAAAATAAAATTTAGACTAATGACATCAAACTATTACTCATTATACAAAAGAAGCTTTGGGACGATATGATGTGTGATTAAGACACCCACAATACAATTTTAGACTAAAACCAATCATATACATGGAATGAAAAGGGAGAAAAGAGGAAATGACTTATTGCAGTGGGACGAGTTAAAAGCATCCCCAGATTGGCAGATTCCTTTCCATGATTTTGGAACTGGCCCCATCCCTTCGTCACTAAAGCTCCTTGATTCTGGCCACACACCTGATCATCAAAATGCAGAATGTTCAATCTATGGATCCCAGATGGAAACTAGGAAACGCAATTTGCAAACAAAAACAATCAGGTGATTTATAAGTACATACAGTAGGAAAAAGGTCTAGATATCCATGTTATAGAAGAAAAAAAAAAAAGTCATTGGAGAAACAGAGGATTTGCTTTGTGTTTAGTGTAAAATTAATTAGGAATTACTACCATTATCTATCATCCCAATGATGACATTTTCCCCATATTTTGATTTCAGCAATATTTCATCTCCCATCCTTCGATTTAAGAGAGACGGTTCTTTTGCTTCATTCAAGCCTAGAAACTCCCACGACCTTGTAGTTTGCACCGTGTGAACCTTACTAGGGACCACCGAGACCACCTCTTCTAGTTCTGTTTGGATGAAGGGAAAAAAGAGAAAAAGGAATCCATCAGGAAAAACAGGGGAAAGATAAATATGAATGAAAGACAAAGATTTTCATCTGGGGTTTTCGTTTGGTGATTGCCTGATAGCTTGGAGGCTTCATCCGGAGTGAGAACTGCGGAGAAGCCATTGATGCTGTGCTTGTAGCTGTAAATAAGGGAAGCTCTGGCATCCTCCTCTGTCTCTTTCACGGAGAGCAAGTAAGAGTGATGTGTTTCTTCTATCTCATGCAATGCTTTCTCTCCACTGTGCTCACCAAAGTACACTATGTACACCTGTTAGTATGAAACATGAAAATTCAGTTTAGGGGAGGAGAAACATGTGAATAAATTGATTCATGGGAGAAGAGATGAACACCTGCTTTTGTGCACAGGAGGCTAGGAGGGGCAAGAAGAGGAAGAGGGAGAAAATTGGGCTCGAAATATTGTTCATGGTGATGATAGGGATACGGAGTTGTTGAAATGTTGGAGGGATTATGGTATATTTATAAGAGATCAACAGGGATTAAAAGAGAATAAAGAATTTTAAGGAAAAAGGCATCAGGAAAACAAAACGTTCTCCCTCATCAGTATAGAAAGAGGTTTTTGGATGTGGTTGAATAGGGTTTCC